AATCCTATAAAAGCACGTTACAAACCGCAAACAATATCAATTACAATCGGTGCGCATATGCTACAGAACGGATTAATACGCTAAATGCTTTAAGACTCTTTTGTGCGACCCTCTCCAAAATCCACCCTTATTTTTAATACCCACCCTTAGTCGTTTGTATGATATATACGTCTATTATAATCTACACGGGGGTAGGGTACGAGTACGATCGGGTAGGGAATTATTGTGGATTATTTTGTTCGGTTATTGTTTTTGATTATTATATGGCATTCTCGTGCTTGTCAAGGTGAACAATATTGTTATATAAGCTTATTGTGTAGCGTTTTCTTTTGTGGGGGATTGTTTTATTCATTTGTATTAGTTTCCTATTGTGTTGATTTGGAAAAATATACTTTTTTGATGGATGATGTTTTTAGAAAGCAGTACCAGGAAAGGTCATCGTATACCACACAAATTTTAGGCGACTGATGAATTAAAATAAAAGTTGTATGTGCACTATTTGAATTATACATATTTGAAGTGAAACTTCTTCTCACTTCCGTCTGCCTGTCTGTCAGTCTGACCGTCTGTCAGTCCAAGAACTCCATTCGAGTACCTCTATCCACTTGCCAAGTTTGGTTCCAACCGACCCATAATTAAGAAAAATCCTGATGATTTCCTCCATTTAGAGGTATTGGTTCGAAACGTCGAGGGCGTCATCGTGTAACCTGTCCCCAGTTCTGCCGAAATTGACCCACATTTGTCTTCAATATCAAATCCTTCGTCCCACCCTGATGAAGATGTAAACGAAACGTCGTATCCTTTGCTGGGTGGGAAAGTGTGCATCAGTCGCAGTCGCTCACATAGCCTACCCACCAAATTTAGTCGTGATCAGACATTACCTTTAACGTTTCTTACGTCAAAACTAACTGTCATAGTGACACGTGTTGTACACGGTCAAGTTATCCTTGGTCCAATCTATCAACATACCAAATTTCATTTAAATCGGTCGATTTTTTGATTTGATTCATTGGTGATGGGGTTTCGTATTGCACAAAACGTCGTCAAAATATCATGAAAAGTTAGGGCTCTTCGAGCTCTATCTACATTCCTAGTTTCACTCCCATAGCTCACATAGGACCCGAGTTACGACGCGACGCTTCAAAGACCCATCTCAATCTCAGTCTTGAATTTTTACTTCCATCGCGTCTAAAGAAGTTTCATTTCAAAAATGGAGTTGATTAATTAACAAAGTAATTATTAAAAAAATATTAGCAATCAGTAAGTAAGAGTTAAAATAAGAAAAACATATATTGTTAACAATTTTCTAAAAGCAAACAGAATATGATAAATATTTCCCTAAATTCTCATTATAAAGATAGATAATTAAGATATTCTAACTTCCTATTTTATACGTTTTGTCTTGTCTTAGAAATATACAAGCTGCAGTGCGCTATCTTGGTAGAAGCAGGTGTCACAGTACACCGTAACCATCAAGCAGAACGATAACAAAAAACAGTAGACGCATTTACATTATCTAGGTACAAAATCAGACCGACAATTTAGTACCTTAAATTGACGTTATTTATATTTGATAAGAATAATAATAATGAGCTATAAATAAGATATCCTTAATTGTTCTTCAACCAAAGTAAATTTATACAAAAAAACTTGTAAAACTATGAAATTTCCTATAATAAACACTAAAAATTACTAATGAAATATAAATCAAATCAAAGAAAATATGAAACATTTTCAATAATAAAGGAGGCCTAGAATTATGCCATAATTTTATTATAATATACTAAAATATAGATATAAAATGCGCCAAGACATCATAGAAATAAAGGCAACTTGAATATGGTTTTAAGCATTTGTTATTAACTCCAACATATTTCAATAAAAAGTTAACAAGCCTATATCGCCATATCACCAGAACTATTCTTAAACATTATAAAAGAGCTTTTAAATAAATAATAAAATTAATTTATTTTTTTCTGGGAACAACAAACGACTATAATTTGTTGACGAGATCGTAAACATATCCAATAATTTTAAGCAAAAAAATGCACGAAGAACTGAGAGAAGCCTCCAAGAAGATGTGTCAGGGGATGTTAATGAAACAACACAATTGATGATAAATTTAGTTAGGTAGTTCCGATTATCTAACAGTCAACGAGACATAGGAAGATCAAGTAAATATTATATAAATACAAATATCTTATGGAATATACATTAAGAATTGGTGGACAAAATTAAACTTTTGAAATTGAACGATGGACTAGTTTGGTATAGACAATTTTTGGAAAGCTGTGGCATATTGTGAAGGATAAATCTCTGAATCTCTCCTGTGATTACTTATAGTTCTGAAACGCCTACCTTTTCTTAAAGAAATATGGAAAGAAATATGCTCGACATGTCAAATGGAGATGAGTGGCCATCCAGATTGGATAAGAGATATAGATGTCGACCCCCTGCGGAGAGGGAAATTAATCACTGCGACCTTATAAATCTAATGGGCCCCCCTTTGTTGAGTTATAACTCATCGTACAGTTTCAGGGCTTTGATAAAAGCATGTATGTAAGACGGTTTTACAGAGGTTAGTTCTAACTAACTTCGGATCAAAGTTTATGGTAACGGTTTCAGTGACGAATGAAAATTCTGTGGGGAAACAAGGGAAACACTAGAACACCTCTTCACTGAGTGCGCAGAGACGACAACCATTCGTTTCATAAACTTTGGTACGACTGATATCGGAAATGGAGAACCAATGTAACTCTCTCAGATCCTGGCTTCTGTCAAAGCCCTCAGAATGTATGATAAGTTATAGCCCAAGAAAGAGATAAACAAAAGATCTATAAGGTCGCGGTAATTATCTTCCTCCCTCCGTGGGAGGTCTGCAGATGCAGACCTTCCACAGTAGATACTGAAGAGCAGCATTTGTGGAATCAGAAAGAACACCAATTGAATAAAGAATGAAAAAAAACTTCATAAATAGTATGGGCATAAATGGCAGAACCTCATTACACAGAGCGTCCGAAATTCGAAGTTAAGATACTATAAGGGATATAAAGAGATATAAATGAGGTCAAATTATAACAAAACTGCACAATTTTATAACGATTAAAATGACAGATTATAAATATCCGTATTCATCCGATGATAAATTCTGAAGAAAACAAAATATTTATAAATAAAGTCCACTTGATCATTTTCATTTTTTTTTAATCCACTATTTTGTAGAAGAAATATTAAGGCAGCTAAGAACATATCCTTCGGTTGCTTGATTTTCAGACAGCCAAGCCGTGCTAAAGTCTAAACTCTAAATACATTGGGTCAGTGTAGGAATATTACGTGACCCTGGGGTACCAGGTCACGAGTGTTACAAGAGTAATGAAGAGGCAGATGAAATAGCAAAACAAGGCTCATCAATGCTATTCGTAGGCCCAGAACTGCTCTGCGAAGCTTCAAAAGCAGTTTCTAGACTGGTCACAATACAGTGGGTGACCAACAAATCTCTAGAATGGTGGAGAAACTTACAGAGGCTTACTTACTACTACTGCAGAGACAAGCAAAAAAGTTTGTTGTAGAACATTCGCCAAAATTCACAACAGACCTGATAAGCAAAGACAGAAAGACTGTAAAAAAAGGTCTGATAAGCAAAGACAGAAAGACCGTTGTAGTGGGTCTAATAACAGGGCATTGTAAGCTGAATAGGCATATAGAGCTAATAGGGTTAATGGACGAAGCCGTGTGCAGTTTCTGCCAACCTGAAAAAGAAAAGATGCTCTCTGTAATAGGCAATGATAGGCCATTGAGAGAGCTATATGGAGGTTTTAGAGGTCAGTTTCTCAAAAGGTCGTCATCTCGGTCGTCATGGATCAGGCCGAGAGCCATAGCCACCTCGAAGAATCTAATCTAATCACCTTTTTTATCAAAATGGTGTTATTAAATGTCACTAAGAATTTTCAGTTTTTACTTAAAAATATATTTTTTATCGATCTTTAGTACTCACTAATATACGTTATCGAACAACCTACTTATTAATCTAGATTTAACTCACAATTCCGACACGATAATCGCGCAGTCGAGTGTGTAACCGACTTAATAAACACGGACCCCGCCCCCCTAACCACCAGTCTTTCCCACTGATGCCTACCATCGCGAACCGAGAGCATTTACCATGTTTTGATAACAATCGGAGTGATCCACGACCCGACGGTGTTTTGTTTCCGTTGCGAGCGCGCCGCGTTTAATAAGCTTTTGTTGTTGTTGATGTTGTGAAGTCGGCCTCGTATATATTATGTGTGTACCTACGACACGCGTCCAGTGGGAACAGGGCTTAACCGCAATTTCGCGATAGGCATCTTCCGAACGGGACATAATGGAATAATAGAGATTATTTATGGTTAGAGGAGTCGAGCCATGGGAACCGTTTACACAGAGGGGTTGCGATATGGGTGTATTGGATCCGAGGATTTTGAATTGAACATTAACTTGTTGGAAAACTTATGCCGATGACAAAGATTAAAATGATAGGCGAGGTTAGCAAAAATGTTAAAGTTGAAAAATCCTTTGTTAAAATAGGAATTGTAATGTAAACTTTATGGTTTAAAGGTATCAGAAAGTCAGCAGGAGGAACCGGTCAGTCATGGGTAGAACTAGGACAGTCTGTCCTTAATCTTTACCTATGACCTTCTGCCCGAAACAAAGATCATCAACTAATTTCTTCAAAAAAACTATTGCATATCTTTCAGTCAAACATAGCCACATATTTTTCAAAACAAAATTTTGTTAATCGTCTTTTAATGTAATAACTAGTGGAGGTTTCTCAGTAAGTGTACCTAAATGTACAAAAAACTAATATTTTAATTAATTATATTTACATCTTAAAAACTTCGTATCATATACTTGAAAGTTATGCATAAAAACTTTGACGAATTTCTTATCTACCACCTAAACCTATCTGTTAATTTTGAGGTCTCTCAGTCGCTCTAATTTCTGAACATGCGTAAACCTTTCATGCCAAACCTCTCATCTCATTTGGTCTACCGCATTCGCCTAATCGGAGTGTTCACTGTTCATTGGAATTTTAGAACAAACCTTTGCCGCCCGTACCCTTCATTGATATGATACCAGCGTCCCATTGGGTCTTCTTATTTCACGATCTACTAAATGATTACCTGACGATCTAACCACCACATACGTTTTAAAGAAAATAAATTTTACAAGATGTGATTTTAGTTAAATTTTAAAATAAATTAGATCCTTGATTTGCAGCTTTAAATTAAAGATTTCGTAATCCAAAAAGTGTAATCTTTGGGCATGATTGAGAAACAATTATGAAGGTATCTATTGAAGCACGCGCCATGTCATTGATAGTAACCAAATAGATTTTATATTTTTTCAGGAAACAAAATTCATATCAATTGTCTGTAATAAAATGTTTATACGCTTTGTCTCGCGAGGCTCTTACCTCCTTTCAAGAACAACCAATATTTTTGCAGATTTAAATCAAGAATACCTTGACATTCCATTCGGGAGATCGCCGGGTACGCCGGGTCTCCACGGCTCGAACCAGAGGACCAAGAGGATGAGGACCTCGTTCAAACACCACCAGCTCAGGACGATGAAGTCGTACTTCGCGATTAACCACAATCCAGACGCCAAGGATCTGAAGCAGTTGTCGCAGAAGACCGGGTTGCCGAAAAGAGTACTACAAGTAAGTGTTTTTAATTTAATTGAGTATTTCTAATCAAAACGGCTGAGAAATGAAAAGCACTAATTTGGCTGGAACAGTGACGGCAGTAGTTTTTTTTTTCTTATGGATGAAGTCATGAAGAGGTAGTCATAGTCTGAGCTCTTAGACTGTCCTCCGAATTCAGCGACTACGTTTTATTTGTGAAGCTGAAAGTTGAGGTTGGAAAGATATAGTTTTTTTATCAAACATGACAGTTATGACATTCGCAAACAACTGCTTTTCTAATCAAAGGTGCCAACTATTATAATAATATATAGACTTGAGTTTATGATATAGAAAATCGTTGAAGTTTGTGGCTGTGCATAGAAGTTAAAAATAATAGAATTAGAAAGAAAGTATTTTACATAATTGTGATTTCAGAAACTAATCAACTTCAAAGTGGGTGGACCACCACTGTAACCAATAAACAGTTTTTATTAGTTCGTTTGGATAAATGAAAGAAACAAATTATTAATTAGCACTTTGTTTTATTGTGTAAAATAAACATTACTTTTTATTCTAGATGTAATCACTATCTATTAAACTTAACTTGTATTAAGCTCTTCCAAACGGCCTTACAAGGAACAGGGCTCCATATACAGGGCCAATATAAATCAGAAGAATTCAACTTAAAGCTAGAGTTGTAATGATCAAAATATCCATGATACTAAAACTACATAAAAAGCTCTTTCATTTAATCTTTCGGCGGTTGCGCTTTATTTTTTACATGAAAGATCGCGCGCGGACTCTGAGACCGTATGCTAAATTCGAGAGATCTTAAGGGTTGCTAATTGGTGCAAGATATAAAATAATATAATAATAAAAAGTAAAATCTATTTAATGACTTGCTTCGTTCTCATGACCAGCTCCATGTTATAAAGAGGTATTTAGGTCAAATATTTTTAGCACATTTTAATAAACGATGGCAAGAATCTAATCGCACAAAAAAACGTTTTATACCAGATACAGTAAGTGGCTGGAAGGTAGATGCACAATTACAGTCTCAGATGAAGAACCATCATGCTCTTGTGCGCAAATCGGTCGACCTGAAAAACGCTTTGAAGATTGCTCAGAACGGACCAAACGTGCAAAAATCAAGGAAGTTTTAGACAATGTTTCAAATGAATTAATAATAGCTGCATCCAAGAAAATTACAGGACAAAATGAGATTCTTTCATACCATCCAGAGAGAGATTTGGCCTTGATCATTGATACCTCGTAAACAAAACATGCTTACGGTATTCTTAGGCAATCAGCAATAGAATTAGGAAGTGACATTTTCCCATCGTATGAGCGTATTTTATCATCAAAAAAACTTTGCTATCCACCTGATGTAGAAATAACAGAAACGTTTGCCAGAGTAAATTTGCAATCATTGCTCATTGTTATTTTAAATTTGTAGTGATTGTTCACCCTATATCATACTCTCAAACTTGCTAACTTTTTAACATTCATATAATATTATGCTTAATAATACTGACTAATTTGACGCAAGCATTACTATATCGACACAACAATTTTTGCCACTTTTGCGCCATTTCAGACTACTGTTAAATGTGAAATATTGACAGATGATCACCATTTCAAATCTTAAAATTTGCATTTTCAAATAGAAATGTATGTACAGGATGTTTATAAGAAAAGTGACGTATCTACAATATCAATATTTGACGTTTGAAAACAAAGTATAAAATTAAATATATCTAAAATAAATTTTTTTTTTTTTTTTTCAATTCATTATTCGAATATGATTCGAATTATCATTTGTCATTTCGAAGTTATTGAATTAATACCGTATTACCATATGCCCTAAACCATTGTGCGCCGCACAACCACGAGAACAAGCGGGCTTTAGAAGCGGCTTCAGCGCGATTGATCACATACATACACTAAAGAGAAACAAAAAAAGAATCTAAGAATCCAAAGCAATAGTAATAATATATAAAACAAACCCAGATTTTCTAACTGGTAAAGGAGTACGACAGGGGGACGCAATATCCCCAAAACTCTTTACGAAGTAACACTAGAAGAAATCTTCCGTCAATAAACTGAGCAATACGTAGCCGCG